CGAATCAGATTTGAAAGTTACTCCTAGATGCTGCTGATTTTTTCATGTTTATGCTCAATGCCTGATATGCGCGAAGTCAGGGACCGTTACGCTAATTATAAGAATTTCCTCGGGTCACTGCGTTGACCAGCCAGCGACCAGTCACATGAACTGATATTTCTGGTTGGTTGTCTTTTTATCCCCTTGGAGCAGAGGAGACATGCGAGATCAAGGTAGAATTGCTACGTTACTCAATGTAAACAGATGTTTGCCTGTGAATCAGAGGCCGCAATGGCGTCCAAGGAAAAGCTCGTGTCGACCGGCTGAATAGCGGCAGCCGTTTTCCAATCACTGACGGGTAATAACCACCAGTCAGGACTTTATATTGCTCTGTCAGCCTCGCTGGATGGCCGTTTTTAAGTTTTTGACAAGTCTTCATTGCTACCTTAGCAGCTAAAGGGGAACAAGACTCATTGTACCGTAACCTGCCTAAAAATTTCTTACCTTGTTCGTTGTACGCTCCATGCGACAAGAAAGATAGGGTGGTTTTTACGGATCTATACCGATATTGCATATATTCTACGAATACCAAAATTTCATGTTGTAAGGAAGCAAACAATCTGAATGTGCGTCGACCTCAGCAACTTGTGAATGAACCAAGATGGCAATTTTTCTATTTTTGATATGCAGACAGATACATAACGACGTTGGAATGAACGACTCCAAAGCGGAAGGCTAGTGCGATGTGCATGAGCCAGCCTCATCGTTCATATGATTTATCGCCTAACATGGTCTTCTATCTTTGCCTCGCGGCCTAGGAGCAGCTTTTATGATATCATCGACGCGCAGAATCATCTCTGCCGCCTCCCAAGCTGATGTCAAAGCACTCAGCTTCACGCGATATGATTCAACGACGCCCAACACTGCCATATCGCCAACGTGACCATCGACAAGATCTGAAAAATGCAGATGTATCGCATTGGCGCCATTCATCCAATCGTTGACAATGAATTAACTCCTTACTTATTCCGTAGGATGATTTTGAAAGGCTGTGCGCGACCTTCAACTCGGAAATTAACTGGGCCGAATCGAATCCGCCGTTGTCGGCCAAAATCGTCGGAATTTGCAACAACGCCCTGGCGAATGCCTCGATCGCTAACGACTCCTTGCCCGGTGTGAACGACGCCAATTTCTGTACCGCGGCAGCCATGATCACTTCAGCACAACCTAAGGATAATCAACGAATTTAGTTCGCTGAATAAAATAGCAAAAAAAAAGCAACTAAAAACCGATGGATAGACGGGCAATGAAACCTGCATAAAACGAAAGTGAAGAACAAGAATCAACTCGATGAGGGGGTTGGATGGAATAAATCATTACTATAAAAAGATTCCACAAATCGCCACAAAAGACTTCTCGATTCTGTGCCAGGAAAAAATGAATCCGCAGGTCTTAGGTTAATGAATCAAACCGAATTAAAATAAAATACAATGAACAATAGTTTTGCTCAACGACATTTATCAGGATAAATACACATTTACGTATTCTGTAGAAGAAAAAACACTAGACAATCTAGAATGACCGTATGTGCAGCGGTCTTTCATGGTGCTGTTCTAACATCTTGTTCACAAGATCGAATCTACACCCTAACTGTTACCTACAGAAGTTATGTTGTCTTAAACAATTGACTCTGCCTTATGCATCTGATCTGGAGTTATTATCTCTCGAAACCATTTTATCAATTTTTTACTATTTTTTAATTTCACACCGCAGAAAGTGAAAATCTTTACGCGAAGTTAATAGCCTACTAGTTATGGAAAATGGTATCGACTCGTTGCCTTTTGAGTACAAGTAAATGGCCTTCGCTTCCCGATTTACGGTTCAACACAACATTTAAAAAGGCATGACTGTAACGGTCTATATTTACTGACGTGTTTCGACGTTGCACACAAGCGCCGCCAGTCAACCAGTCAGTTTCGATGACCGCTTATCGTTACTCGAGTCACAGAAGCAGACGCGTCAGACACTGCCTCCAACGTTGCTGGTCCTGTGCCAGAGTTTGAGCTTCGACAGAAGATACCCGAA